GTATAGCCCTGTAAAGACAGAAGTGAGAAAATCATGCTGGTTTTACTGGCATGAATTTCCCGTCTTGATTCCAGCACAATTTATTTCCTTGTCCAGCAGCACCATTTAACTTCCCAGGAGGAAAAAAAAGCAAAAGCGAAAGAAAACAAACAAAACCTCCCCCCTCAAAACTCACAGGTAGTTATAGAAAAATAAGGCTGGTGAGGTTACTGACTTCATCATCTGCCCTAAGTGAAGATCTGAGATTTAAAAAACAAGCACTTATTTGGCAAGAGGAAGTTTGTTTAGATCTGGAGGTCTGGGTTTGTATTTCTTCTCAAGGGAGCAGGGATTTTTGGAAAGCTACTAAGTAGCATTTTTCAAAAAAACCCCATCATTTGGCTCATGTGTACTTTTTTGAAGCGTTTGACTGGAAGAGCAAAGCGTGGTGCTAACACGTAGAGCAAGGAGCCGAGGGGAGGGGACATGTGCCAAGGTCACCTCAGCGGGAACGATGGCAAGCTTCACAGCAGTGACATAAAACCTCCCTCTGACACAAGATACCACTCACAGCTACTTTTTAAGAGCTATAAAAATCCAGAGCAGGCGCACATTAATTAAAGCAGTTCAGAGAGAAGCGCTGCGTGTCAGTCTTGGCAGCGGGTGACTGAAGGGCACGTAGCACGTATGGGAGCAGAATGCCCACGGACCAAGTTAGCAAAAATATTTCAGTTTTTATCGCCTCCAGGTTTGTCAGTGGGCAGCACAGATGGTTTGCAGCTGGGGAGCCAGTCGGCGTGCCTGTAAGGAAGCTATGTGACCTGTATCATGAAGCAATGTGTACCGTAAGGAAGCTTTTTTCCGTGACTAGCCCAAATCTCCTTCACTGACATTTAAGTCTATAGCATCCTGTCCTAGCTAGGCTAGAAAGCAGACCACGAAGATCCCCCTCCTCTGCACCACAATATTTTTCTTATTTATGTCCTTGTCCCTCAGTTCTTTGTTTCCCCTAAGTTAGACAAACTCAGGTTCTTCTGGGCTTTGCTCATAAGCCACATTTCCACGCTGGTGTCCCCCTGCAGAGCACAGGACCCATCTTCCAGAGTGGCAGGTCCTGAGCAAAAGAGGCAGTGAGGAGGACATGGACTCATCCAGGCTTCCCTCAGCTCCTTTCCCTCCGAGGTTAAGGCGAGGCAGGCTGAGGCGATTGGGGTTGTTACCCAAGAGCAAACCTGCTAGCTGCGGCAATTTCTCTTCCTTGTCCCCTACTGCACCCCATCATGAGAAATAAGCTTTTGCTATGAACCCACTTGGCTGGCCTCAGCTGGTGATGAAACACATCCAACTAAAGGATGATGGCTAGCAGGAGGTCTTTCTGGTTTTAACTGGTGATTATTCCAATTGAGTGAAATAAAGACAATCCACTTTTTTAGCTCTTACACCTATCTACCTGTACTTACCCCATCTCTTGGTTTCTCTGGCTGGCTGGTAGCAAGAGGAGCCTCCAATATTTCACTACACACTGGAAACCTTGAAAGCAATGGAGCAGAGCTGGGGGCACAGAGCTAGTAGGGCCAGCAGCATTAAGAGTCCTAACTCCCAATTACAAGGCAGAGAAAAAGAGGAAAAAAAAATAAATATATATATATTTGGATGTTCTTGCAGGGTCTAATACTCTGCACTCCACTCTGCAGGTGGTTGCCACCTATGGCTATCATGCACTTGAAGGCAGTTTTCTCCCCCATAACCAATTTGTCAAGAGACAGGCAGTCTAGTCTGTTATTTTCCAGGGCTCTGTAAGGATTTCTTAAATTCTAATCTTACAGCTTAGACCGACTCTTTTTCTAGTGTGGGGAAAATATCTGTGAAACAGACCTGGTCTTTCAGATATCACTACAATGCTTTGAGATATGCAGCTGAACAACATCTAGTATTGCAACCCACGTACCACAGGAGAAGCAGGGGGGGATAGAAGAAGGTGTAATGCTTTTAAAACATACGGAAAGCATTATCTGAATAGCAAAAATCTGACATAAATCTATATACACATACTTATAGCTCAGATTTGGGCTTTCCATAGCCCTTGCTAGGCAAGTAGGGATAATGTTTTTTTATTCACAGTGCATTGAAAGAAGGTCCCACTCCGATTTTCAGAACTTGCCACCGGCAGTCAGTCTCTCTGCTTTTATTTACAGCTAAAAGTCCTGGGCAGAGTCAGGGCACAGAGAAAAAAACAGGGAGAGCAACTGGCAGATCTCAGCTGATGCAAAGTACTGCTTGGCCGTTTTCAAGGGACAATCAATTGGAAAGGACTTGCTGTTAATCAATGTGAAACAGATACATGTGAGGTCCCCACAGAGCACGCTACAATGCGGAACAGCTTCTTAGCGTGGCAGGTTTCTGTGGAGGGAGTTTGGATGGGCAGTTTTTATCATAAGCCTGCATTTCTGACAGCTGCCTAGTACTGTTTTCCCAGACTTGGCGCATTTGTGCTGAGACACATAAATGTCTTCTCTTTTTTGCTCCTTAACCACTGCACAATCTTTCAATTTTTTAAGCAAAGAAAGATAGAAGCCATATTTTGTATCATCTATAGCTGAAGCTGGAGTTTTTCCTGTACAAGGAAATGGTTTCTTGTTATCTGAAGATGACATCTCTATTTTACAATAAAAGCCTCCATCCTCTTTTTTTTTAGTTCTCTTTACTCCCCCCCCATCTCAGAAACTGAACTTATCCAATAGCCTGCAAAGAAAAATAATAAAAGAAAGATGGTTTTGCTCTGTTTCCTGGCGACCAACGCCACTGAGACCCCAGGTAGTATCACACTGGCTAATTCAAGACAGAAACAAGCACCGTGACAGTTAAGTGGGAAGAGAGGATGCAGCACTAACCTTGGTGCAGAAAATCCTTGACACAGCTGTCTGCTGTTCATGATGGAATTCACAGTGAAAATCTGTTTTGAATATGGGAAATTATGTTCCATGCATGTTTACTTGGCTTTTTTCCCCCCCCCCCCTTACTAAGCTTAACCATCTTGGCTCTCTTGCATTACCCTCTCTACCTGTAAAAGCATGTAACAAAACTCCTTTGATGCGGGGGCTAATACAAGAGGGCACACTGTGGCTCCCCTAATAACTCACACAGAAAGCTGGACACGTCATCTTCGCACTTACCTCAAACCGCATCTCCCTTTCTCCAGAACAAGGTACCCTCCTGAGGGTGGGGAAAAGCCCTTACGCCAATAACACAGCACTATGTAGAAATGAGAAAAAGGGCTTTAAAATGGCCCTTTTTCCCAAAGAACATCAAGGGGGTGACAGTTTGTGTCAGGCTGTGGGAATGAAGGTGGCGGTATAGGTCTGGACTACTGTGGAGGCCTGAGGGAAGGAGGAGATCAAGGAGCAGCGATGGGAACTGCCCCCCCGGTTCGGACTGGAGGTGCCTCTACACCAGTGCAGAACGCTGCACACCAGCGAGGGCTCCTGGTGACTCCTGACGACAGAGGCTCCCACTGCGTAGGAAAAAGGCCCAGTCCCTCAAAGGCTTTTTTTAGGCACAGGGCCGGGGCAATGAGGTACTTCTCAAGGCTAACCACATTGCCTTCGCTGAAAAAAACCCACTAAGAACATGTTAGAGAGAGTGTGGGGTTCAGATACTCCCTAGGAAGCCAGAGCAATAGGAATGCAACAGGAAGGTAACTTCCCACCCCTGCCATTAGCGAATACCAAAGAGAGAAAAATGCAAGAAGCCCACAGGGATATGTTGTCTTCAGTCCTGTCGGTCATGGTTGTGACAGCTGGGACCTTTAAAGACTGTCAAAGGAGGGAAACCAAGGCACTCCAAATGCCAAGTCTGTCAGCAGCATAATTAACATGTCATGTGTGGTCTGCTCAGAAATGCAGCACTTTACTGCACCTCCAACAGCCAGACTATCAAAAATGCTGCTCAGCTGGTAATTCCTGCACCTTGCAATAATATCGAAGTTACTGCAAAGCCAAGAGAAAGGCAAACTGTAGTGTTTGGGAGGACAAGAGCCAGTTTGTAGCCCATGGGGGAAGGCAAGGTAACCTACCACAGGAGCTGTTGGTACTCCTGCTCCGGAGGAGTGTCTCTGGAAACATGTACCCCGTTGTATTCTTAGAAAGGCACATCTGTTTCACAGGGGCAAAACACCTGAAACAAAAAGGACGGAGGCAAGTTCGGCGGGAAATTCATAAACCAAGACTGGCTTGGGGACCTCAGTGGCTGGAATGTGCTCCCCACCAACCTGCAAGAACAGTTTGAGGCAGGTGGAATCATGTGCCCGGTAAAAGGGAAAATTTCTCTCCCCCATCTCTGGCAGCATACTTCGGGCAAACTTACAGATGTAAAGTGACAAGTGACGGAAAGAAAAATCCCATGCTGTGCAAGCCAGCCCACACAGAGAGGCATGGCAGTCCTCTCCCTCCGCAGACAAAACGGACGTGCACGGTTTAATGCAGGAGGGTCCTAGTATAGGTGAGATACTTGGGGCCACCTAGATGAATGCTCAGGTAGAGAAAAATCTAAATTTTTATTTAAAAAAGGTAGATCTGTGGCCATCATGACTGACCGACATGACTGGGCCAAGGACAGCACCTGAATCCACCAAGAGCCTCCGAACAACAATTCAAGTATACCTGAGCAAACTTGCTATGGCACTGCTTAGCAGGACAGTATTGCTGCCAGCACGGGCTCCTCCACGGCTGATCTCTAACAGGCAGATCAGGGAAGGCACAGGAAAGGGAAAGTCAAGAGGGTGAGGTCCAGGCGTTACTGTAAGGAACGATGGACTCACAAGGACAGGGTGAGTCACAGGGAAAGCAGAGAAAAAGCAGGCATGCAAAAAAGGAAAAAAAGAGCTTCAATAGTGGTAAGTCTGGTAAAAGAACAAATTTTTACTGAATGTAACAATTAGCGATGAAGACATACACGGAAGTTTTATCTATAGACTGGCAGAAAATTTAAAATCATATCATATAAAAATAATCTATTTCTGCACAATAAATACACCACTTCCCCTCCTCTTTCAGGTTGACTTAAAATGATGCAAGTTAAGGATATCTTACAAACAACAAAGAATCTTAGTTAAGAAAATATTTATGAAGGAAGTTTCCTTGCAAATTTCTAATTTCTGAACAAGTGATTTGGGAAAAAATAAAAGCCCACAAAACTCTTCAGTGACACCACTGACTCCTTAAATTTAGCGGACCTGTAGCCCAATTCTTGTCTCAACATCATTTTCTTGTCTCAACAAACAGAAAAGGCAGCAGCCCTGCGGTCAGCCCATCGGTTCCATTAAACAAGGACAGCTTTATCAGGAGCTCCTGCATCCGAACAAAGGGAGAAAACCAAAGCAGAATGAAGAAGCGAGACAGACACCTTGTACTCCTGATGGTTGAAAAGGAGTTTCTGAGCCATGCAAAGAGCTCTCGCCACCCTGATCAGATGGCACTAAAGATAGGAGACAGCACTATCTGAACACATGCTCAAAATGCTTTGGAGAGAAATGGTTATATCCAAGCTGCTGCTGTAGGCAGGAGGTTCTTGCTGAGATTACAATCAGCTGTGCGAATGAGCACAGAGACAGAACACATTGGCTAGATCAGTTTTTGTTAAGACCTGTCAGCAGTACAGGAAAGGAATAAAATTGCCCTTATAATGAAAACGGTCTCATTTGCAGCTCTGTGATAAGTAGTATTTATCATGAATCTTTGATTCCCTTGTGCTCAGGTTGCTACTGCAGCTCCTCTGGGATGGCATTAACGCACCATTTGTCCACGGCTCCTACTTATCTCAAACAGACTCTGTTACAGACAGGTTTTTCACCCCTGGCCTGTGAAATTTCTTGAATTATCTGGTAAAGGAGAGTTTCAGCCACAATCACAGCAGGTCCATGATTCTGCCCAAATGTTATAATAAAATATGGGTCAACTGTGCTATAGGCAGCAGTGTGAAGTATGACTTCAGGGTTTTACTGAAACGTCTTTGCAGAGATGTATAAAAGTTGATCATAGCTTCATCATTCAGGAGAAGCACACTCATCTCATGCAATCAAAATAATCAAAAGCAATTTCACAGAAAGGGGTACGTATTTTTAAAAAGTTATATTTAACTAAGTTCTAGCACCAGGCAAAAACCATGAATATTTACAAAAGTCAGGCAGCAGCACATTTTAAAAAACCACAGTAATAATTAGCACACACTAGCTTATATTTTCAAAGCATTTTACAAAAACATGAATTAAGCCTCACAACACTCTTGTGAGATAGGTAAGTATTATTAGTCCCATTTTAGAGACAGGGAAACAGGCATGGAGAGAGTATGATCTGCTCACCACCACACACGTCAAATCCAGGAACAGAAAACCAGGTTTTCCAGTTTTCTGCCACACGTGGTCTGACCTCTTAGAAGATGCTGGTCCTTAAATAAAATTTGTTTCCTCTCATCCCTTTTAAGACACCTGACCCCATTTCAGTCTGATATGGAAAGGTATGCACCAAGAGCCATCCATGATAAACAAGTGCAAGTAGGAAATAACATTTTCTACAGACTGTGTGTTGCTGGAAGCTGTTTAAGAAAAGACTTGACGTGTCTTTTAAGAAATTAAGGAAGTCTTTTCACATTAAGAAAATACTTCCATACTGCCAGAGTCAGAATGTTGCTTCTCATCAGGCACCTGCCACCAGGGAACTCACTGAGGCCTATATGCAATGCTGATACAGCTCAGAATCTGCAAAAAAAGGTAAGGTTTCTTTGTCACTTCCAAACAAGGAATCTCTCGCTGGCAGGGAGTCTTCTCTGAGAAGAACTCATTTGAGTACAAACATACTGAAAGCAAAGACTTTTATCAGGAGACTCTCAAGGTACAGCTAAATGTGCAGATGTATCTGTTGGAAAACCTGGAAATGTTCATATATTGTGCTCTGTGTTAAGAGAGACGGCCTGGAGGCATCAGCCATCCTAGAAGGTAGAAAATAACTCTCCATAGTCACTTCAAGAAGACAAGTTCCCTTAGTGTATCACTCGTGCACTGAACTAGTCAGTGACAGACTAGGATTAAAAATTCCAAATCACCCGAAAATTCAAGTCAATAGATTTAACTCTATAAAACGCCAAATCTGGCAGATCACTGCTGCCTGTTTGCAAACCCAGGCCCAGATGTTAGTGGAGACATAGAAGCAAAAGCAGTCCTTCCACCTTCAGTTACATATGTCCATTAGACACTAGATAGAGTCCAGGAAGTTAGTCTCATGACAGCTCAATCTGAAGATCCTCCCCATACTTTCGGATCAGCTTCATGTGGTTATGGTCCACTGACCATTGCTCCGGGAGGTGCTTGGGCTGCATGCTGTCCAAGAAATGCTGCCGCCAGCGTCTCTCCAACTGCATAAGGGAGCGCAGGCCTCCTTTAGCAAAACACTGCACCACCTTCAGTCCATGTGGCATGTAGCTCTCATTGCAGATCCTGCCAGGACACAAGCAGAGTTTATTTTCACATAAGCCCACTGTCAGACTCTAGATCCATCTACAATGAACAGCAAGACACTGTAGATACTTGCAGCTGCGGAGTTTAATTACAGACACATGGTAAGCTAATCAGGAGGGAGAGTTTTAAGCTTTGCTTCAATGCCAGACTGCTTTCTGGAACACAGTTACACTGGGAAGCTGGTTTCTTTGAACTGAAAAAGTGTTCTTTTATAGCAACACTAAACAAAGCTCTCATGGTCCATTACAAGCTCCTCAGGAGACTGCAAATTTCTCAAGGCAAGAACGGTATGACACTCCAGAGCCCTGATCCTTCCACTAAATTCCCTGCCTGGATAGGTTCTGAGTTGCAACGTTGGCACATTACAAACAGCAGTGAGTGTAACAAGGAGAAAATACTGACTTCATGCAGACAGAGACCAGACACTAGTTAAGAAAAGGTATTTCGGGAGGCTTTGAGGAAGAGAGGAGACTTCCAGTATGATTGTCATTTAGTATCCCTCCCTGATCTTCTTTCAAAAGAAGTATAAAATAGTGGAAGGGAAG